TGTTCATCATAACAGAGCGAGCGTTGATTTATTGATAGAATTTTAAGCTTAAGAATTGCTAAAGGCTCCAAAGCAATAATAGAGATGTTCATGTTTGACTTCCACTACCGCTACCTTTCAAAGGCTCAATACGCATCAACCTCGTTCCCAGGCTTTTTCCTCCACAAGAGGAAAACGAACACTCTGTACAACACACACCTCTGCATGTACAACGGATAGTTAGCTTATTAATTAAAATCTTTTAAATAGAAACCTGTAAACAACAGATAACACTAGCCTCCTCTGAAGGCATGCCTTTAGGTTGGTGGGCAGAATTTGATTGCAGGCAACATTCTAACTCCAAGCAACCCAGGTGAACTACGACGTGCCTGCGGAGGAGGCTGAGATACCTCCAAACAATGGACAGCTGCAGTGACACCATTCTAAGTACAAACTGAAAATATGCGAGTATAAAAACTACCTTCATATATAGGACATTTATAGAGATTCAGGCTTATAAACTTTACTGGTAAAAATCTGGAAGAAATCGCTGATTTTAAAAAATTAATTTTTGGTTTTACTTCATATTTTACTAATTTACTTTGTGGACGAAATTAGCCTGCGTGGCAGGCCGTCAATTTTATGGGAGGCCTGATTTGCAAAAATCCTGCCCGCTGCAAATGAGGCCCCCAATAAAACTGAGGGCCTGCCACGCAGGCTAGGACGAAATAAGAACGTTTCTCCCAGAGCCTCTGTGCATATATTGGCTCTCTTAAATTCCGGTCGGCCTATACACATGACTCTACGTTTTCTATTCTATTGAACTATGCATGTCGAAAGTGCATGCATGGTATTCTATATTGTATACGTATGTCGAAAGTGGATATATAAAAACAATAGGAAATCACTGGACAATGGACACCGCCAATTAATTGGCAATGTCTGTCCCAAAGTGTCCGTTGTGTGGAAGTTCCATGCACAAAACAAAACAAAACAGAGTGGTCACTGGTGTTTTTATAGGCATTTTACTAATTTTAGAACGTTATTCATACAAAATAAATTTATATGTGATCAGTTTTGGAGATGTTGTAAATGTTGCAACTGCAACTGTTGTAAATCCAGAAACTGACTAAAAATGGGTTCAAGCCTGAAGTGGATTGAAATCAGTTATAAATCGAGTTTTTCATGAGTTTGTCTGAAATCAAAATACAATAGGATGGTATATCATACACAAGCACTGCTTGGTGTCGTTTTGTCATGAAAAGTAAAAAGATGCACAGTAATGTGCATTGCTTTGAATATGTAATAATATTATATTCTGTTTAATAAATTTGGGATTGTTTTTATATAGGTAATCAATACTCCGTATCACCAAACAAGTCCTGTATCTATTGTTTACGAAAAGGAAGGTTACCTGCTCAAGAAAGCGCCAACTGCTGCTGTAAGTTTTGAGTCTATCATTATTAATATAAGGTTTCCATATAATGGTTGTTAGGGAAATTAAGCATACTGTCGTTTCGAATGCAATTTTGAACGAAAACGTACAAGGGTGTGTTCGTCATATAGACTTACCAACAGTCGGCCTCAGAAGTGCATGGACCGAGGACGATGGCCCCCTATATATATATATATATATATATATATATATATATATATATATATATATATATATATATATATATATATATATATATATATATATATATATATATATATACTTTATTTATTTATATATAAATATATATATATATATATAAACGTATTAGTGGACCATATTAGTAGTAATGATTATTTATGCTGTCATGCAGGTGTGGCGAAAAAGGTATTTTATGTTGAAAGGACGCGAATTGGTGTATGACAAAGGTGTAAGTAATTTTTTTAAAGGCGCGTTGAGACAATATGCATGCGAATTGGTAGAAGAATTTTGTATACTTACATACAATACAATCTGCAGATACATATATTTTGTATACTGCATGCCATAGCACTGTATATGGCAATTTATTTCGAGTTTATAAAAAGCGAACATTATAAAAACCTATTTTTATAATAAATATAAGCGCTTTGGTCTTCGAAACTGTTGTTGAAAATATGTCCTGACTTTGGAAAGAATTTTTTGATATATACACAACGCATTGGTTGTGCAGAGATCGAAATTCGGCCAATAAACGTCCTATAAAACGCCTCAGTGACATTACTGGGGTAAAATCTTCGGCAGTTTTTATTTATATAATGTTCCAAATCCTGCAGAGGTATATGCGTGCATGCCTATAACATTTTTCTGCGAGTCGTTGACTCGTCCCATTTGTGATTTGTTTTCGCCTTTGCTTAGGATTAACATGTAACGTCCCTGGCCTTATATATAATTACACCAATGAGTAAAAACCATAGATATCTTATATACACTAGATGGTGCATCTAATTATTCTGCAATTCAAAAATTGAAGCCGTGATTGCATGCAGACTCAGGATATTCCCATGAAATGAGAAGACTCGTATATTTTCTATTTCTTAAACAGGGAACTTAAACATTAAGTTAAACCTATTCCAAATATAGGCCTACTTTTTCAAACTATTCAAATGATGAAAGTTATTGTTCTTAAAGTGCCTATGACACGAAATTTCACCCCAAAGGTTTATGGTTGCATTGTAAAGATCACTTAAAATGACTTAATAATTTCTTTTATAGAATTTTGGTAACTTTCTCCCTTTTCAAGATATTCAACTTTGTTTCATATGCAAATATCACCGGAGTGACATCACATCACATAATGAGTTTTCAGAAAAGTATAGTTTTCTTCACGAATACGTATCTAAAATACTTTAAAATGGCCCTTGTATATGTATTAATTTCATAACTGGTAATTAACCTTCAGTATTTGTTTGTAAACATATTTTATCAAGGTAAAATATTGCGTTTTCAAAATGTCATTATGCGATGTGATGTCACACCGGTGATATTTGCATATGAAACAAAGTTGAATATCTTGCAAAGGAAGCAAAATACCAAATTTCTATAAAAGAAATTATTAAGTCATTTTAAGTGATCTTTACAATGCAATCATAAACATTTGGGGTGAAATTTCGTGTCATAGGCACTTCAAGCGTTTATTAGCGAGTGGGAAACTCCAATATGGCCGCCATCTATTCAAATGGGGGTAACCGCTGGAATATTCTTAGCTTCAATTTTACTAAAAGAGATGCGCTATCTAGTGTATATAAGATATCTATGGTAAAAACTGAAAGGCATAATATGATATTTGTATTTGTGTTGGAATTGGCCCGGAAAACCTGACAAATATATATATACAGGGTGTATAAAAAAAAACTGAACAGAATTGAAATTGCTCTCAATTTCGCAAAACACCTATTTGTATCTGTTTTTTTATATATATAGCTTCTTTGGGTACTTATAATGTAAAATAATGAAAAAAATTTCTCGAACTCAAATTTTGTGAACCAGGGGGGTGTGTCTTTTCCAACAAACTAAAAATGGCTCGCGCACAAAATTTAAAAGATCTAATAATATTTTGAGTTGATAGATTGAAAATTTGTCGGGTTTTTAATTACTGTACAAAATTTCAGACAATTTGGTTTAGTTTAAGCCCTTTAACTATTCATTTTGTTCTAAAAAGTCAGCCTTTCGCATGCTTAATTAATGCCTTTACCTAATTTGCATATTGCTCACATATGCAAATTAGGCAAATGCATTAATTAAGCATGCAAATAGCTGATTTTTCGGGAAAATTGTAACTTTGCGTGAATTGTTAAGGGGGCTTAAACTAAATGAAATTGTCTGAAATGTTGTACAGTAATTAAAATCCTGACAAATTTTCCATCTGTTAACTCAAAATATGATTGCAGCTTTTAAATTTTGTGCGCGAGCCATTTTTAGTTTGTTGGAAAAGACACACCCCCTGGTTCACAAAATTTGAGTTCGAGAATTTTTTCTCATTATTCTACATTATAAGTACCCAAAGAGGCTATATATATATATATATATATATATATATATATATATATATATATATATATATATATATATATATATATATATATATATATATATATATATAGTATAACTATATATATATATCTAGTATAACTATATATATATATATAGTTATATATATATATATATATATATATATATATATATATATATATATATATATATATATATATATATATATATATATATATATATATATATATATATATATATATATATATATATATATATATATATATATATATATGATAAGTAGAAAATGTTCTCGAGTGTGTATTATTATGTGTTCTCGCATGCGCTATCAAGCCGTAGATCACGATGGCGTGACGATGCTAGGAAGGAGCGACTATTAATGGAAGCGACACAGTGTTGTTTTCAAATGTATAATTATAACATTTCAGACGTGAATATTGAGTAAATCTTTGAGAATCTACGCAATATATAAACCGGTGTTATGCATTACGGGCATTCAATCAAGTATCGATATTATTTAGGCGGTATATTCATTATACAGAGCTAGGAAGCAGCTAGACACTGCTTTTTTTTCAAATGTATAAACATTTCAGACGTGAATATAGAGTAAGGTAAATCTTTGAGAATCTACGCAATATATAAATTGATGTTATGCATTACGGTCATTCAATCAAGTACCGATATTATGTAGGCGGTATATTCATTATACCGCCTAAAGTTAGGAGGGGGCGAGACAGTGTTGTTTACAAATGTATAATTATAAACATTTCAGACGTGAATATTGAGAACATCTTTGAGATTCTACGCGCCGTTCTACACAATATATAAATTGATGCCGATATTATTTAGGCGGTATATTCATTATACAGCGATTGTATAAGGTGTTATACCACAGCATAGATGGCTACACTCGGTACACTAGTACACTGAAACCACAGAAGCCTGTAACACTCTGTCACTGTGCTGAATAGACATTTCCAAGGTTTCTACCGCCATATTGCAGGGGGTGCAAAAACATTAGGGCGAGCGCGCGGCCACCAATGGCGCCCATACTATTTCCTATTGAGTGAGTGAAAATTACCTTTTGACATTTTGTCCTTTTTCTGAAAAAATTTCTATACAAGCATATCCAATTTTTATTTTTAGATAATCGCTGGTTTTTTTCTGATATGTGGCCGAGATTTCTTGCTAATCGAAGGACAGGAAGTAATAAAAAACGGCGGCTTTTATTGTACAACTTGACCGACGTTTGAGCGATGATTTT